TTTGAAAATGTATGTTGCGTAGCATACGAAACGTCAAGTTATTAAAATGCGTAAGTTTAATATGTTTATCACCGCTATTTGTGTTTTATTCCTCGTTATTAAATGTGTTTTAAAATTGGTTCCCGAAGGAATGAGTAATTTAATGCACCAGCATTTATTCTTACACTGGCCAGATTCAATGTCGCATCGTCATAATATCCACTGCTAAAAACGTTGTATTTAATGCCGCTGAAAAATCACCAGAGACCCAAGTGTTCATTATCTATAAAGGCGAACTCAACTCTTAAACTGCAATGAACTGATGTTACATGCATTGTAGGAACTTACCCCTGATAAAGGTTACGTGTGGTTCTTACTGGACTGGCTTGACGCTGATTGGTGGAATGTGGATTTCTATAATAGCAACAAGCACGCGGCACCGGAAACCGTTCCTTGTTCCACCGCTGAACTGAAGTCGTTCGCCGAGCAAGGCTACTTCACTCTGTCATCTCCTTTCTTCGGAGATGACGGACAAAGCGTCTTGGGAGGAGGAACTGTCCAGGAGTGGAAGGAGATTTACCTGTCAACTGTAAAAAAGGAGGTGAGTNAGTTTCTTTGCCAATTTCAACGCTATTACATTTTCAACGTTGTGACAGTTTAATAGTTAGAAAAACAAACTTGTTTACTTTGCCAAAATTTGGAAGCCTCCGAGGCAGCACTCCGATATCTTTGACGACTGGCAGAAACTTGACAATCCGAAAAAAATTTAGCAAGTTTTTGAAACCGGGGGTAGCACTTATTTTAGGTTAATTGTTGACAGTTTTCTTACTTATACAAACAAGTACAAAACTGGCTCTAGTACGACCTGGCCCTTAGTAATATTTTGGCCGAAATTTAAGCCCTTGAGCTGGTAAAGAGACATTCACGGCGTAAAGGCAAAAAGCGAATTGAGCGTTTTATATTCTCAAAACACTGATGTCATATATCTTCGCAGGATGTTCCGTCAGCGCATTCAGGAAGTTGACTTCCTGGGAGTCTCTGGACGAGTTCACTTCAAGAACGGAGATCGTTTGTCCAATATTCTCATCAAACAGAAGTTCGCCTCACACTCCGTGGCTATTGGTCAGTTTGTTCATGCCCACGAACAAAATGAAACATACGCAGGAGGTCTGGAGTGGGATCCCGACAAAATCACGTGGGCCACAGAAGGGGTACCACGTGATCTTTTGCCTGGTAAGGCTTAGCTATTTTGTTTTCGATTACGTTAAAAAATGGAAATAAAATAAAATAAATAACTTTATTTAGCAATGTTGAGTTAATTGGGCATACTGTAAATAAATAAACAAATATTGCAAATAGGACATGAAGTACTAAAAATCCCAACTATAATGGGAGGCAGACCAGTTGGCTATTTACGCAACGTGGTCAAGGAGTTGAACTCTGGACTACCGAGAACAAATCCAGATAGTGGTATAGAGGAGGATTTGACTTATCATGTACTTCATGACTAGCAGTAAGAGAGAATCTAAAGTGTTTCCCTTTCTTTATACTCCCAAAGAACCTGACCCGAAGGCGATATGTGGAGTAGAAAATTTGAGAAGAGCTTTGGATGTTTCTTGTAACGTGGCTATCATTGTTGCTGTTGTTATCGGTAAGTACCAGCATATTAGAGTTGTTTTCAATTGAGTTTCGTGAAACCAAAAACCAAAGTAATCACTCTAGCCAATCACAAACGACAAAGACAATCCAGAGAACCAATCAAAACTCGAAGTAAATACACGTAGCTGACGCGAAGCGCAGGAAAACGTGTACGAGCCAGTTGCGAATGGTTTTGGTTTTATTTCTGATTGGATGAAACAGTGACCCAAGTTTTTTTTAAAATCAATCTTCTGCTAGAATAGTAATGCAAAACCAATTACTTTTCGACAAATCCGCTCTCAAGCTCGATACAGTTTGAGTGCTTTTGTACTGTACGCTGCGCCAGTACTCTTTGCTTCACATTCACATTTCTTCGTGTCGACAAAATACAGGATTGCATTGGATACTTATGTCCCAATAGCATCTCTATATATTCACACACTTTTTATAACAATAACCACTTACCCAAACTTTTTTTCTTAACTTAAAGCATTGGCATCTGTGTCCATAGTCCTGATATTTGTGGTGTGGATTCTGAAAGGAAGGTGAGGTTCATTGTTAAGAATATGAAGGTGGCTAAAAAAATAAGACAAATTTCAAATCAAATTAGCTCTACATGTGGACACTATGGTATTCTAGAAAAGATCAAAGATGATAAATACAAGCCCACGAGGGACTGGTGTAGATCGGAGTTAGCGCTACCAGTGTTGATAACTCGAAGTTACTGTGTCTAGATAGATGCAAAGTTCATTCCAAGAAAGGTACCACGAAATTGACCCGTGGATCCATTTGTCTAGTCCCTCTTGAATGAGACCAAATTCACGATTCTCGTTGTGAAACCTAGAACAGCTACTATCAATACATATTATTAATACGGAGACATTGATCAACAGTCAGAGTAGTTTACCCTTAAGGTGGGACAACCTAAAAACACACCATGTTTCAAACATTTTCTCGTGGCTAAGAGTTAACTCCAGACCATGGCATTTTAAAAAAGCTCAAAGAGCAAAGATTATGAAAAAAATATTTGTTTACCCTATAACTATATTGTAACCTGACACCGGCTGATTAAATCTGCCACCTGCTGGGGAATGCCAGGGCTTACTTGAGAAAAGATAACTCCTACAAGAACTGATCAAAAGGA